CTGACCAGCTGGGATGAACCCGGAGGGCATGTAGCACCTCCCTCCAGGGCACAAAGGACAGCCCCAAGGAAGACACAGCAGGGAGCCATCTCTGCARACTCATTATCTCACAAAATGCAGAGGGAAGCAAGTACTTTCAGACTCTGGAATGGCCTAATAAGAATTTGAAGGACAGTGAAAGTATTTTGAACATAAAAAGTTTAACTAAAGACGTATTAGCCAACTCAGAGCTGCAAAGTGTCAAGATCAGGTCAGTTCTGCCCCCTCACCCACTAAAAAAAAAAAAAAATTAGGAATCAGAATCCCCAAGTCTGAGCTGCTGAGGGGCATTCCACAGGGGCGTTCTTACCACACAGAGCTGAACTGATGACTGCTGGGCCCCCGCAGCYGAGGGTCATGCCAGGACAAAGGGTACCCAAGCCTGAGAGAAGGAAGGCACTTCACTCAGCCTGAGTCCAGAGGCATTCATGAGCAGATCCCCTAGGACAATCCTGGCAGGGAACAGCTAGAAGGTGACTATAGTCAGAATGACTGTATGAGGTCCAAGGGAAGGGCACAAGGAGTAAAGGAAGCTCTGGAGAAGACAACAATGAGGCTGGGGGCCTATAAACATGGGGGGGGGGTTGTGGACACCAAAATAGCCATCTGGTGGCAGCATATGAAGACTGCCCAGGAGAGCCCTCAGACAGAGAACACAGCTAGGCCACTTCATCTGATGGCCTGGACACTATAGGCCTTGCCATTCTTACAGCATAGGCCATACCACTAGTCACAAATCATACTGAGAAAGGGATGGCAAGGTGAAGTACCTGGCTAGCCTCTCCAGTCATGCAGGCAAGGTTCTTATGTGGCAGCCAGATCAACTGAATTGTCCACCAGCCCTTGTGGCTGGGACACATATAGAACATGAGTGAGGGAAGTGCCTCTACCTTGAATCATGAAGATGCCAAAGTTGGTGATCCCTGAAGATGAGGCCTACTGGCTTAACACCCACCCCATTCCCAGCATGACAAAGCTGCTTGGTTAAGGGGTGCCCCCAGGTGAAAGGTCATATAAGCTGATATCAGGAGGCTCAAGCTCCTCAGGGATGGCTCAGGGATTGGGGACCCTGGGGGTCCTGAAATGACCCTAACAGTAGCCAGAATGTGGTATCTAAAGGCTAGACACCTACAAAGAGGTCCAGGTTACATTCCGGGCTTCTAGGGAGGGTCCKATCACAACAGGGATCAAGTCCCCTGCTCTTGGTCAATGGGCCCCAAGTATACCACAGCCTATGCAAGGAGGGTCAGCCTGCTTAAGCAGCATGAGTTTCAAGGGAGTCCCATAGAGATCTCAGGGAGGGGAGCTTGCAGTAGTTCAACACACATTCAAAGAAACACGCAGAACAACCAAAACATTGAGAATAAAGACTGATGGCATGGAGTCTCCCTTACTTGGTCTTTTAGTTAAAAAGTAACAAGCAAACCTGGGCCTGATGTGGCTGCGATGGCCAATGTTGGGCATGGAGCTCAGGGAGTGGGAGCTGTTATCAAAGCTGAGTGTAGGGACTGTCTGTAACTAGGGACTGCCTGCCTGTCACCAGTGATAGCAAACCTGAGGACATAAGGACATCAAAACATTTCCAACTTCTAGTGACATTAGGCAAGATATTAGGCAATAAATGGTTCATATGCAACAGGAAAAAACTAAACTAAACTCTCACCTGATGTTTATGTAAAAAAAAATTCTAGATGGATTAAATGCTAAGTGTTAAGAACTAAAGTAGAAACATCTACTAGAAGAGAAGACAAACATGTATTTATCTGGCTACATGCTGAGGAGGACTATACACAGAGTGATGGAACAACTAAAGAAAGGGAAAAAAATCCAACATTTTGCTACAAAGTATGAAAAATTTCTGAACATCAAAAACTGTCAAAAACCCAAAATCATAGAATTTGGAGGGAAATGGATGGCATTAGAGCAGATTATGCTAAGTGAAGCTAGTCAATATTTAAAAAACAAATACCAAATGACTCCTTTGATATAAGGGGAGTAAACAAGGACAGGGTAGGGACGAAGA